ACTCCTAGGTGTGCGAGGATTGGAATGGCCTGTTTCTGAGAGCTGTGTCTGGTGCAGACGGGAGACGGAGGCGGGCAGAGGGAGCCCACGGGTGCCGGGCCTGCCATGCTCTCCATTTGTAGTACTTTGCATGGGAGGTATGGTTTTGCATAGGAAAGTTCTATGCAAAATGGGTGCAGTGGAGGAACACTGCAGGAAAGGGAAATGGTACCTCATTAATTTTAGCTAAAACAGTGTGGTGGAAAGGGAGAGGACGGAGGCAGGAGCAGCGTGTAGTTAAACTAGAGGGGTGGGCAGAGGCCGGGACACGTTAGGTTTTGTAAGACGTGGCTCTTCTTCAAGTTTGGGACTTGAGCCCCCAAATGTGAGCAGTGGTGCCGTTTACTGTGACGGGGAGCCCTGGGGGCAGAGGTTCGGGAGGAAAGATGATGACGAGCTCGAGGGGCCTGCGTGCTCCCCCGTCACCTCGGCAGTCCGACCTCTGGATCTAGGGGCTCAGGAGACAGAGTCACAGGCAAGTCGTCAACATGGAGAAGCACGGAGCGGGGGTCCCCTGGGCGCTTTTTCTGGCTTCCTTCGTATTTGCCTTATAAGAGCGCATATAGAGTTTTTCTAGCATAATGAGTTTTAATAGGCAGGCCTCTTGGCTACAAGAGACAGAACTCTACTTAACTAGCTTAGGCGAAGCCAGAAAGTGATCGGCAGTATGTTGGTGTAATTCTCTGGTCAAGGGAGGATTGGTGAGGCACGCTGCAAGAAGAGGAACGCAGCTGGGCTCAAGGAACGGCTGGAAAGACAGACTTCCTGGAGCTCCTCGCCTTCCTTCTCTTTCACTCTTGTTCTCAATGCTGCGGGCTCCTCCGCGTGGAAGCCCTGAGACGCGGTTGTAAAGAGAGACCATTGCCGGGCTCTCCAGCTTAAAGTGCAAGTAACCAGAGAAACTCAGCCTCTTTATAGACCCGGTGTGAAAATCCTGAGCAGAGAACTCTCGGCCGGGCCTGGGTCAGGCCTCCCCTGGACCGGTCACTATGGAGGGGGCGGTAGAGCGGTGGTCGCGTGTGCACGGGGCAAAATACAAATTAAACATGTGTGTCATGACATTGGTCTAGCTGCTGTGACATAGAACCAAAATAATAATGGGTTGAATAAGGTAGAAATTAATTTCTCTCATGTAAATACCCAAACATAAATACAGTATTAAAAATATATTTAACAGGACTGCTGTGGATCGAACCAAGGGTCAATCCAGATTTTTGGTTAAATACAATTTTGGCTAAATACAATTTTTGGAACCCTCTTTAAAGAAAAGGATACAAAGTTTCCAGTATAAAATTAGATACAAAAGTGAATATTTGTTAAGTATGAGAAAAGAAATCACAACAAATTAGTGGAGCTTTGGTGTTTCAGGTCGCCTTCTTCTGAGATCTTTATCCGATTTACATGCTTCCTAATTGCAACCTGTTCCCTCCTCCGTCTGGAACTCTCCACAGCCCCCAGCTCCTGCCCGCACTCTCGGCGGCCCTGGGAGTGAAGGGCTGCGAAGCTTCAGCTTCATTAGCTTGCAGAACACCTGCCTCCGGCCGAGACGAGAACTCCTTTCCCACATAAGGAGAGAACGCGCACCCACTAACCGTCTCTCCCCTCGCATAGCCCCAGAGGGTGTTGTTAGGACTTATGGGTAGGGGTCTGAGAAGAGCTGTGTCAGCTTAATATTGACAAAAACTTTTTGATGCAGTCCATAGATATAATGGACTGCATTACAGCACGTGGAAATCTTTGTCCCTGGAGCGGACGGGGCTGGTCATCGTTCCTGAGGCTGTCTTAATGAGGATTTAAGCACCGGTTGGGCACAGTTTATTTAGAGTAGATGACATGTAAGGTAGTGTAGTGAAATGAAAAGGGCATGGACTTTGAAGTAGAAACGATCTGGGTTTGGGTCTGCATTCTACCCCGAGCTGGAAGGATGCCAAGGGACAAGTGATTTAATCCCTCTCAACTTTGATTTCCTTGTCTATAAAATGGGGATGGCAAAACCTATTCTTCTGGTTTTCTGTAAGGATTAAATATGAATGAATTTTAAGTAGTCAGACAGGTACAAACTAATGGATTTCTATAAATTATTCCCCTCTCTCCTGCTCCTTTCCGGTACGGAGTCTACGATTCCATGTGGGGTTTGAGCTTTGGCTTAAAATATAATAAATAGGATTCAGATTAGCACAGAGGGAGATGGGCATTCCGAAAAGGGGGACTTTGACAAGCGGGTGCGTGGACTCTTAGTTTTTGTCGTCCAGCATCCCCTCTGCTTTTGAGGAACGGCTCCTTTTCCAAGCACAGCGCAAGTAATTTTGAGGCAATTTATAAATCGCAACACAATCCTTTCATCACCTAATTTCTTCATTCCAGGGGTCATAATTTTCATATCTTGAATAGCAGAAGCAAATCCTCCAGTGATTTCCTTTAAGAAAGGCAGGTAGATGCCCTGTTTACTGAGCCCTTGCACATCTGGAGAATACTTTTCCATTGTCTTCACCCAAGAACAGTCATTTGGTTGACTATAAAATACCATTTTGCAAATCTCTGTAATGTCTGGCCATATAGAAGACACCTCATGGGCTTCTGCATTCAATTTGTTGTAATATGTTATCTTGGTGGGAATATTTGAAGAAAATCTGGCCTCACACCAGTATGTAATTGGAAAAGGCAGAAGTATTTTAATAATCTTTTCAGATAACTCTAGATAGACTTCCTTGATACTATGCCAAAATTCAACAAATGGTAGTTTCCTAAAGGTAAGTTGCAATGTGGAATCTAAAACCCTGTCAACGAACCACTTATATTCTGTTAAATTAGAATCTATTGATCTATCTTTCACATTAAATGGAATTTTTACCCAGGCATAAGCTCACTTCCAAGCATATCTTCCAAATAAATGTTAACATATTTCATTTTAAAATATTTTTAAAAATCACTTTCATTTGCATTACCACTGATCTCATCAGAAAATATAGGCAGTACACTCTTTGACATCAGTATTAAAAGGATCTTTTCAGACACCATGTCTTCTCAGACAAGGGAAACAATAGAAAAAAAAAACCACATGGGACTTCATCATACTAAAGAGCTTCTTCAAGGCAAGGGAAAACAGTATTGAAACAAAAAACAACCCACTAACTGGGAAAAAATATTTACAAGTCATATATCCGACAAAGGGTTAATCTCCATAATATATAAAGAACTCTCACAACTCAACAACAAAAAATCAAACAACCTGATCAAAACATGGGCAGGAGACATGAACAGACATTTCTCCAAAGAAGATATTTGGATGGCCAATAGGCACATGAAAAGGTGTTCAGCATCACTGATCATCAAGGAAATGCAAATCAAAACTACACTAAGATATCATCTTACACCCATTAGAATGGCAAAAATATCCAAAACAAAAAGTAATGGGGGGCCGGCCCCGTGGTGGAGTGCTTAAGGTCATGCGCTCCGTGTTGGTGGGACAGGGTTTCGCCGGTTCAGATCCTGGGCGTGGACACGGCACTGCTCATCAGGCCACGCTGAGGCAGCGTCCCACATGCTGCAACTGGAAGGACTCACAACTAAAAATATACAACTATGTACTGGGGGGGCTTTGGGGAGAAAAAGGAAAAAATTAAATTTTTTTTTAAAAAAGTAACAAATGTTGGAGAGGTTGTGGAGAAAAGGAACCCTCAAACACTGCTGGTGGGAATGCAAACATGGTGCAGCCACTATGGAAAACAGTATGGAGATTTCTCAAATAGTTAAAAATAGAAATACCTTATGACCCAGCCATCCCACTACTGGGTATCTATCCTAAGAACTTGAAATCAGCAATTCCAAAAGTCACATGCACCTCCATGTTCATCGCAGCATTATTTACAACAGCCAAGACATGGAAGCAACCTAAGTGCCCATCAACAGATGATTGGATAAAGAAGATGTGGTATATATATGCAATGGAGTACTACTCAGCCATAAAAAAGGACAAAATCCTCCCATTCACAACAACATGGATGGACCTTGAGGGAATTACGTTAAGTGAAATAAGCCAGATAGAGAAGGACAATCTCTGTATGACTCAACTCATATGAGGAATTTAAAAATGTGGACAAAGAGAATAGATTAGTGGCTATCAGGGAGAAGGGGGGGTGGGGGAGCACAAAGGGTGAAGGGGTGCACCTACAACACGACTGATGGACAATAATGTACAACTGGAATCTCACAAGTTTGTAAACTATCAGAATCTCAACAAAAAGTTTAAAAAAAATCACTTTCATTTGCATCACCACTGATCTCGTCCGAAAAGTCTTTAAGTATTGGGGATCTGAGCTCAGAGTGGGAGATACAACTTTTCTAATGTATTTTAATTTTCACTTGAAATCTCAAAATTTTTCATTGGCAACAAATACTGTCAACTGTTTTCCTTGAAGTGATAGATTCCCTTTGTTCTTTTCAAGAAAACATTGGCCATACCCAAGTCTCAATAACAGTTTGCCTGTCAGTCGTTCTCTCAAGGAAAGATGGGGACCCGTGGAAAAAGCAGCTCGTTGAGCTCGCAGCTCAGTCACACAAGTGCTCTTCCCTCCTGGCGACCATCTGGACAGCGGAAGCGCCCTGTGTGTACTTTCTATTTGCCACACAGAAGATTAAAAATGTGCACTTAAGAATCAAAGTTTAGGGGCCGGCCCCGTGGCTGAGCAGTTAAGTTCACGCGCTCCGCGTTGGCGGCCCAGGGTTTCTCCAGTTCGGGTCCTGGGCGTGGACATGGCACCGCTCATCAGGCCATGCTGAGGGGGCATCCCACATGCCACCACTAGAAGGACCCACAACTAAGAATACACAACTGTGTACCAGGGGCTTTGGGGGAAAAAAGGAAATTAAAATCTTCAAAAAAAAATTAAAAAATAAAAGAATCAAAGTTTGGTCAATTAATATTTTTTATTGTTTCATCAAGGACACTTCTTTCCCGCAGGTGTGTGGTGGTGAAGAGCCATCGCTGGTGCCCTCGGGCCGTGGCCCTGACCTGCTCGAGCTGCCGGCAGCTTGCCCACTGCAGCTCTTGCGTTAGCAGCACAAAGATCAACAGAGTGGAGAAGGCAAACAATGTCTTAATCTTGCTACGAAATAGTTTGGACCTTGTAGACGCTCAGAAAAACAAGAAAGTCTGTTTTAGTACGTGTCTTTTGCCAACTTATGGCTATGTCGCATGATCTTTCCTGAAAACTTCTGTGTCTGTTCCGTTGATTTCTTATGTTTAATATTCCAGAAGAGATTAAAATCAAATGTTTTTTTCTTTATTTTTGTAATTAAAAATTTTTGCTAGAGTATGTCTGTGTGTATCTATTTGTTAATTTTTATTCAACAAAGTGGGCACGTTTAGTCCTAATACTTAGGGTTTTTTTTCCAGCTACAAAAGCCTTCAATGTTGACTTCTTTTTCATTCTCCTCCCTTAGGAACAGCAGTACTTGTTGAGTTAAATCTGTTTTCTGTCCTCTATTGCTTTCTTCTTTTGCTTATTGTTTCGTCCTTCCTCCTTTCCCTCCACATGTCAAGGGACTTCCTCCAGCTGGCCCACCCCCGTTGTTATGTTGTCCCTGGCGTCAGTTTTCCCCACCTGTCACACTGTCCATGGCGTCAGTTTTCCCCACCTGTCACACTGTCCGTGACGTCAGTTTTCCCCACCTGTCACACTGTCCGTGACGTCAGTTTTCCCCACCTGTCACACTGTCCGTGGCGTCAGTTTTCCCCACCTGTCACACTGTCGTGACGTCAGTTTTCCCCACCTGTCACACTGTCCGTGGCATCAGTTTTCCCCACCTGTCACACTGTCGTGACGTCAGTTTTCCCCACCTGTCACACTGTCCGTGGCGTCAGTTTTCCCCACCTGTCACACTGTCGTGACGTCAGTTTTCCCCACCTGTCACACTGTCCGTGGCATCAGTTTTCCCCACCTGTCACACTGTCGTGACGTCAGTTTTCCCCACCTGTCACACTGTCCGTGGCGTCAGTTTTCCCCACCTGTCACACTGTCCATGATGCCAGTTTTCCCCGCCTGTCACACTGTCCGTGGCATCAGTTTTCCCCACCTGTCACACTGTCGTGGCGTCAGTTTTCCCCGCCTGTCACACTGTCGTGACGTCTGTTTTCCCCGCCTGTCACACTGTCGCTGACCTCAGTCCGATGCATCTTCTTGTGGGGTGATACTTGTGATTTCCTTGCAGCTCTCCCATTTCTCACCCAGCTCCCTGTCCATCTCTCCTGTGGTCCTGTATTTCCTCCTTATGTCCTTTCATGTCCTTTGTTCCCTCTTTATGAATTTTTGCTCCCTTTTTTTTGAGAACATGACCTCTTATGTCCTAGTCAAGCCCCAGTGATTATCAGACAGAGGGGAAGGTGTGGGCTTCCCTTGCCTCCTTTCTGCTCACCTGCAGACTGTCTGAGCACATAGCTGTTTGGCAAGTGTGTGCATAGATCCCGACCCCGTCCCCTGGGCCTGGTGCACGTTCTCCTGAGGAAGTTTTGGCTAAGATGAGCTCTTCTAACTTCCAATGCATGGTTTTCTGAGACTTTGAACCAATCAATGGGTTTGGGGAGAGCACACCTTTCCGTCACTTGGTGTTTCTTCAATGTGGGGAGAGCTGCATTAGGGTCACCGTCCTGGTCTCTGCTCCTCGCGCTAAGCTTCCCTGGGAGGAGAAGCAGGCGTCACCGAGTGACGAGCCTGGGAGAATGGGCGCGGGCCCGCAACCTCTCAGCCAGGAGGCTGGCTCACCTGCGGGGACTAGACTCTTCTGATTGTCCTCTGCTGTGCCGTAAGGTGCACAGGCGCAGGCCTTGCTTCCAAAGGAAAGAGGCCTGCGCTTGAGAGGCGTAACCCGGAGACCCGCGTCTGAAATGTTGGGCTATGAACGTTGGTAAATAAATAGAGTTAAATTCTGGATGGCAATAATATCTACAAAGAGGCTTTGGTGAGGCAGTTGTATAGCTTTGAGCTGTAGACTTGACAGCACCCTCAGCACGTCTTGAATTTGGCAAGTGAAGAGGTTATATTAAGCCAGGTGGGTTTTTACAGTTGCGTAGATAGATTTTAACTTCTGCAAGAGACTTTAAGTCTTAAGCCCCCTCCTGTTTTGACCTTGGCAGGTGACTACAGCCCATGTCAGGACATTGCAGCTTGTATTTCTACAGAGCAAAGCTGCACACGAGGGGCCTTCAGCAAGGATGTGGTCCCTAGCGAGACAACATGGCCTCTGCAGAGCCGCTGCCCAGGCCTCAGGCGGCCTCGGGAGGTGCCCCTGCTGCATCCCGAACCTCGAACTGTGGCCCTGGCCTTGGTCTACGCGTGCGGCCCTCTTGGAAACCTCAGCAGACCCTGGTGGATCTACAGGACTTGCTCAGCAGGCATGGCTGAGCAAGAATTTAAACTCTAGGGCAAAACAAGTACTCGGATTTGCAGCTGTTTTAGGACCAGGTGGGCAGAAAATGTTTGTGCTTTTAAAATACAAGGCGGTTGCATCCACACGGACCAAAAGCGCTCTGGGGACGGAGTTTTAGATCATTGCCACTGCGGGACGTCCTGCTGCACGGTGCCTTCTGCATCTTGACCTGGGTGCTGGTACCATGAGTGTGTCCCTTCGTGAAAATCTCTGAGCTGTGCCCTTGATTTGTGCACTTTTCTGTATGAATGTCTTACTGCAAAAAAGTCTATATGGAAAATGATTAGTGCCAAGCCTATGTAGAGAGCATTAGTTTGTCTGCCCCAAATCCATTCTATATTTTAATTGAATGTCTTATTGCTCAAACAACTGTTAATCGGGTATTCTGTTACAAGAAGCCAAATATATCCTTGTGTTGTCCATTTTGTCTGTTTACTAATTTATTGACATAAAGTTCTTTATAATAGTCTCCTATAATATTTAAAGACTTTAATGTAAAAGAAATTATGTCCCCCTTTTCATTCCTGATATCATTCATATGTAAACTTATTTATTATTTATTTATTATCTATCTTGTTATAAGTTTGTCTATTTTAACACCTGCTTTGTTTTTATAAATCCCTCTATGGTGTCATTTCTTCTCTATTTCATTAATTTCTGTCTTTAACTTTTTTTTTTTTGGTGAGAAAGATTGGCCCTGAGGTAACATCTGTGCCAGTCTTCCTCTATTTTGTATATGGGATGCCGCCACATCATGGCTTGATGAGCAGTGTGTAGGGCCACACCAGGGATCTGAACCCACGGACCCTGGGCCCCAAAGTGGAGTGTGTGCACTTAACCGCTACACAACTGGGCCAACCCCTGTGTTTACTTTTATTATTTTTGTTGTCATACTTTCTTTGAACTTACTCTGCTTTTTAAGATTGTCTCTGTTCTTTTCTGACTTGCAGTTAAATTGTGATATGTTTTCGCTGAATTTCTTTTTATTCATCCTCCCTGAGTTTTGTTGGGCTTTCCGGATCTGAAGATTTGTATTTCTTAACAACCCTGGAAAATTCCTAGTCATTTTATCGTCAACTATTGCTTCATCTCCATGCTGTCTGTTATTTCCTCTGGAGCTGCGCTGAGACCGAGGTTAGACTGTCTCATTCTGTCGTCTGTCTCTCCACCGTCCGTGCCGATTCCCCCTCCTTGAGCCTGTGGACAGCATTCTATGTGAACGCTTCAGATCTAGGTTTCAGGACACTGCTTCTCTCTTTTTTTTTTAAAGATTTTATTTTTCCGTTTTCTCCCCAAATCCCCTGAGTACATAGTTGTATATTTTTAGTTGTGGGTCCTTCTGGTTGTGGCATGTGGGATGCTGCCTCAGCGTGGTTTGATGAGCAGTGCCATGTCCGCACCCAGGATCCGAACCGGCGAAACCCTGGGCCGCCGAAGCGGAGCGCGAGAACTCAACCACTCGCCCACGGCCCCTAGTTCTCTTTTTAATTGTGTCTAATCTTCTATTTAATCAGGCCCTTGACTATTTAATTTAACATCATATATTTTTTATTTATAGAAGTTTTACTTTGTTGTTTCAAAAATCTGCTTGGCAGTTCATTATAGTTTCCTATTTCCTGCTTATAGTTTCTTTTTCCTGCTCTTATTTCTTGAAGTGTATTAAACACAGTCATTCAGGGTCTTTGATAACAATCCCACATACGGAGACTGCATTTCTGCTTCTGCTGTCTGCTGGGTCTCTGGCTGGCACTCATGGTGTCTTTGGCCTGTAGATGTTTTGGGCTTCTCAGTGTAAACTGTTGTTTTCCTTGAAATTTATCCTCAGTAACTCTTTGAGGTTGAAAATAAGCTCTTCCTAAGAAACTTTGTATTTGTTTCTGCCAGTTATCAAATTTCTACTTGAAATTTTTCTAACGCAGGCAACGGAAATTCAGACCAAAACCTTTGTGAGGACTGGTATATTAGTTATCTATTGCATAACAAATTATATAACTTAGCAGTTTAAGACAATGAGCATTTATTATCTTCTCAAGGTCCTTGCAGAATCCAGGCGCAGCGTAGCTGGGAGGTGCTGGCCCAGGGTCTCAGCGGAGGCTGCCGTGGACGTCGGCAGGGGCTGCGGCCGTCTGGGGCTCACCTTCGAGGGGCCAGAGGCCGCTTCCAGGGCAGCTCACTCTCAGGCTTGGCCAGTTAGTGCTGGTTTCCAGGAGGAGACCTCAGTTCCTTGCCAGGGCACCGCTGGAGAGTCTTCAGGACACGCCAGCTGATTTCTCCGAGCGAGTGTTCCAAGAGGCCTCAAAACTTTATGGGCCCTAGACTTGAAAATCTCACACAGTCATTTCTGCAACAGCCTTTTAGCTATTATTGGCCGTACGCAGTGTAGGAGGCGACTACAGACAAGAGTGTGAATGCCAGAAGTCAGAGATCACTGGCCTCCTCTCAGATGCTGGCGACCACAGATGGCTGGTTGTCCGTCATCCAGGGAGACTTTCTTCTCATTATCTCCGGTACTAAGGCCAAGCCAGCTATGTTTCCTTGTCACCTGATTTCTTTTACAGCATGATTTAATTTTTCTTTCGTTTTACGCTGGGGGCACTGTCCTTTGGATGGTAGCTATGAGTAGCTGTCTCCTATTAAATTCTCTACTCGGGAGGCCCTGTGATCCACGTACCGTCAAAATGGGAGTCAAGTCCGCAGGCTGGTCAGAAAACCTCCAAGCGGATGCTTGAGCACCGAGCCTTGGGGACTCCTCTTGCAATTCATGGTGTGATTTTGGAGATTTCTTTCATGCCCACCCAGCAACGCACTCAAAAGGTGTTTGAAAATAAGATTTTACTCAGAATTTTAACTGGAACATTAGAGTTGTTCAAATTAACTCTCCATAATATAGTGAGAAATAGAATTCAATTAAAACATTTCCTTGAATTTATACTATTATTATATTTCTAATTTTTAAAGGGGGATTCTAGCCACTTTAACCTCAGCCCGTCTTGTGCTCTACCTTATGCGTTCAAGACTATTAATGTTCCTCTTGGAATGCTTCAGCCACTTCTTACAAATTTTGAAATGTAAGGATTTTATTGTCATTCAGTTCTAAATATAGTCTAATTCCCCATTATGTTTTCTTATTTGGCTCATGAATTGTTAAAGTATACTTTATAAATAAGTTTAAACACAATTTTTGTTTAGTTAATATATTCATAGAAATCAAAATGAAAAATGTGAAATGATATTCAGTGAAAACTGTCCATCCGCCTCCACAGTTTTCTACACTCCTTGAACACAAGTGTCTACTGGTAAATGCTGAGGCTAGATTTCCAAATAATTTTTATGTATACATTCAAACATATATATATTTTTTACCCCTTTTTCAGAAATGGTATCATATATTAAACAATATTCAGAATCTTGAATTATTTACTTCAACTGTATACCTTGTTCTTTCCATATAAGTTTATAGAGAGAGGTGTTCTTTAAGTTTTCCAAATGTGTGCATTTAAAAATTATCTTTTTATTATTGATTTCTAGTTTTATTTCGTATGATCAGAAATTGTGACCAACACAGTAGTAATGTTTTGGATTTGTTGACCTTGCTTCCTAGCTCAGTGTGGGTGTGGCTGTCTAAACCATCCCTGTTCAGCTTATGTATTCGGCTTGTGATCTTGGAGAACAATTTGAGGTCATAAAATTCATCAGATAGTGATTCCAATTACAGCTGTTCTTCCAGACACGGTATATTGCCTGGAACGAATCAGAATAGTTGTTATGCACCTATTGATTTTGCAAAGAATTTTTTCAAGAAATCTACTATCAGTTTGCAAGGGTCACCAGGTATGATTTGCTTTGACCTAGAAGAACCTACAGTACACCTTCACAGATTTATTCAAATTAAATTTCTTTTTCTCTGACACAATATAATATAATCCAAAAAAATTTTGATCATGCTGACATCTCAAGACCATCACATTAGTCACACATTAATGATATTTTGCTATTTGCACTTGCTCAGTGGGACAGACCAAGTGCTTCAGTGCCTTGGGAGACATCCAATTCTAAACATGGAAGTATAACAGGGACCAGTTTTACTCTCCCGCCTTAAATGACTACAAACACAGACGAAAGATAGGAAATGATGGTTTTCCTAAAGTGGGCAACAGGCAATGCAGAAGAGTGGTGCCAGGGAGAAGAGGGGAAAAAGTGAATCACCTAGGGGCCAGCCCAGTGATGTAGTGGTTGAGTTCACGTGCTGGACTTCAGCAGCCCAGGGTTCACAGGTTCAGATCCCTGGCACAGACCTAGCACCATTTGTCAAGCCTTGGTGCAGTGGCATCCCACAGAAAATAGAGGAAGATTGGCACAGATGTTAGCTCAGGGCCAATCATCCTCACCGAAAAAAAGAAGAAGAAGAAGCAGAAGAATGCCCTCATATCTCATAGTTGGAGATGGTTTCTAGACCTTAGCATAATAAGCAGAAACATAGCCCAGGGTCTCCTTGAGCTGCGGAGCTGCAGTTGAGAATTTAGAAAGGGCAAGACATCTGTAATTCACAGGGCAAAGTATTGAAGAGGAGAGAACTGCAGAGATCTACAGAGGATTTCCCTTTTGTCTTCAGCTGAGTACTAATCAACACATGGATGTGAGAAAATACCATAGACTGGGGAAAGAACCACTGAGTAGAAGCATCAGAATAATTGCTAGAAAATACAGCGTTTAGAATAGTTCATATTCTCAACAATCAGAGAGGAACAACTTTGTAATCCACGGGGCAGGGGTGGAGCACTAAGAAGGGTTACCTCAGTAGTGGGGCCAATTTAGCTCTAGAATAAGACAGCCCTGATTTAACCTAAAAAAGCTAACAAACAATTCTTGAGATGACCAAACTGTTTCCAAGTAACTTGACAGCATCCCAGAATAAACGCAATATTTAAAGACTACCAAAAAAAAAATTAGCATTTAAAAATGTAAAATTCACAACATGGATAGACCTTGAGAGTATTATGTTGAGTGAAATAAGCCAGACAGAGAAAGACGAACTCTGGATGACTCCACTCATAGGTGGTAGTTAACATATGGACAAAGAGAACTGATCGGTGGTTGCCAGGGGAAGGGGGGTGGGGTGAGGGCACTAGGGGTGAAGTGGTGTACCTACAACATGACTAATAATGATGTACAACTGTAATTTCACAAGGTTGTTAACTATCATAAACTTAATAAAAAATAATGTAAAATTCACAATGTCTGTCATCCATTAAAAAATTATCTGACATGCAAATAAGCAGGAAACTACAACCCATAATGAGGAGAAAAATCAGTCAATAGAAACAGACCCAGAAAGGACACAAATGATAGATATATATTCCATAATTTCAAAAAGATACAGGAAATTAAGAGCATGTTAAAGACGTGGAAGATATTTTTAAAA